AGAGTGAGGCGTCGTTGACTGGACTAGCTTCTCTAGTTAACACAATTTAGAACACTGAAGAGGTGTCCTCAGACTATCAACTGTTGTGTCCAACTTCAAGAAGAATAAGTGTACTTCGTGCGAAAATCATCAAGGCATTAACCTTGTTTCCACTTTCTCCAAACTTCTCACGGGTATCGTTTTTCAACGACTTACTGGTTCCAATGAGAACCGAATCCCTGAAAGCGGCTTCCGTTCTGGTCGTGATTGCAACGACCACACATTTACTCTTCGCTAAGTTTTAGAGCAAAGACACTCACAGACAATCGACTATGGTGGTATTCCCTAACTTGAAAGCCGCCTTTGACTCTGTTGACCACGCCAGCTTGTGACACTGTCTATGCATGAAGGGCGAGCCGGATAAATTCCTTTCCATTATGCAGCCTTTACTGTAACTCCCGAGGCGGTGTAAGGGTTAACGGGAAACTGCATCCTGAGTTCCCGATGAGAAGTGGGGTTCGCCAGGGTTATTCTATACCTAGCGTAGCGCTGCACGTTTCGGTTTGTGATTTGAACTTTCAAAGTGCAAATTACTGTTGCAAGACTGGACTGACAGACCTACGGTTCCAGCTATCACCGAACAGCCACTGAATGTGGTGGATCAGTTCACTCACCTTGGGTAGCTATGTCGTCTCTAACGGTAAGATCACTGAGAAAGTAACTTCGAGTATCAACAAGACCCGTGTGGCTTTCCAGAAGCTCGACCATCTATGGAGACGTCAAGATATCAGCTTGCCAGTGAAAGGTAGCATGTATAACGATACCATAAGGCCTGTCGGACTGCATGGATCACAGACATGGCCAATTGGTGATGAAGACATCAAATGCTTGGCACTGTTTAACCATTGGTGCTTGCGGAGTATTGCTCACGTCTGGTTGGAACACCGGGTTGGCAGTGCTGAGGTCTGTCAACTAATTTTTAGCAGAAAGCCTTCTGGGGCTTCACGCGTGTTTGCTGAATCTTAAACACTTACGTTGGCTAGATTATGTCCTCTGTATGCCCGTTGAGCGGCTTCATCAGCGTGCAGTATACGCCGTCGCTGCACCAAGTTGGGCGAAACTGCGATATGGTCACTCCATGACGTGGAATAGAGGAATGAAGAAGTCTGAGAGACTTGGTCATGCTGGTGCGTAACATGTTCGTGGATGGGGCCTTGGGATGGTTCATACGAATGGTTGGAGAGCGTATCGGACATGGCGTAGTCAGTGGTATTCCTGCATCTGATTGCTAATTTTCACTCGGACTAGTGTAAGGCACCTACTTCTTGCTTCCATTTGCTTCGCTCTACATTTGCATTCAATTCAACTATATTGTCGAAAGTTCTGGAGAAGATTGTGAAGAAGAGACTGCTCCAGCTATTGGAGACCAACTCTCTCCTGACGCCTGCACAGCATGGTTTCGTGAGAGGCCGCTCGTGCATCACTAACCTGCTGCTAACATGACATGAATGGTTGCAAGCAGTAAACCAACGTAAGTCAGTCGACGTGGTATACGTCGATTTCAGTAAGGCCTTCGACAGAGTGAATCACGAGATCCTCCTTCAGAAACTGAGGGAGTGCGGAGTCGGAGGCTCGCTGCACCAATGGATCCGTGACTTCTTAGTTGGACGGAAGTGGAGGGTGCAAGTCGACAGCCACCTGACCGACTGGTACCCGTCGACGAGCGGCGTTCCTCAGGGGACGGTGCTTGGCCCCATTCTCTTCCTGATTCACATCAACGACGTGCCCAATCTCCTTCGGTCGCCGTGTGCCTTGTTCGCGGATGACCTGAAGCTATGGAGGGTGATCCATACGTCGGACGACTTTGACATACTTCAGCAGGACCTCGACCGCCTCTCCATGTGGTCCGCCGAAGTAAGTTTGCCTATCAACTCGGCAAAATCGCTACTTCTGTGCCTCGGTAAAGGTGGAGCGGGCCGATCGTACACTCTCGACGGCCAAGTTCTACACCCGACGCATTGCGTCAGAGACCTTGGCGTTATACAACGTTACGACATGAAGTCACTGGACAACACGGACAATATGTATCGCACAGCATTGCGTTCGCTGTGGGCGCTGAAACGTAGCTTCTGCACCTGGTCGAAAGAGATTGCCACTCGTCTCTTCACATCCATTGTACGACCGGTGCTAGAATACGGCTCACCCGCCTACTGTCCGTTGACGAAAGGCGAGATACACAAGCTCGAAAGAGTACAACACATAGCCACACGGCTCATTCCCGGTCTTCAGGGTGTGCCGTATGAAGAAAGATGCAGACAATTGGGTCTGTATACTCTAGCCTACCGCCGCGTGCGAGTGGACCTCATCATGACCCATCGGGTATTGCATCTGGGTGCTTATCCGATGCTGAGGCCACTGCTCCATGTCCGTGCGTCAAGCAGCACACGAGGTCACCAGTACAAACTGGTAGTCCCTGACCTCAAGTGGGTAGCTCATCCCTTGTGTCTTGAGCGGCGAGTGGTGAACATGTGGAACCGTTTGCCCTCGCAGAGAGTAGAAGCGAACTCGGTGTCGGAATTCAAACGATTCCTGGACGCGCACTTTGTGGATGCCAGATTCGACGAAGCCTTCACAGGAAACTGACGAAGGAATCGTTCAATGATTATAACCCATGGAGCCCGTTAATCCACCAACTGCAGCTTCCGAAACGATGCCCATCCGTAATAGGCGGCGGAGCTGGTGAAGGACTCCATGTGGTTCATCCAAGAATATATGGTAAGTACATGGAGATTTTTTCTATGCTTGTAAATATTTTACTTTTTTCACCTGGGCTAGCTCACTACTACAGGTAACACTGTGTCAGTGGGACATGTCCTGCATTGACATATAGCTACATAGATGTTCAACATCTTTCTCGCTATCATGACAGTATCAGTATCAGTATCTTGCTGTTGTAATTTGCTATTCTCGCGATGTGAGTCGTGGCAACTGGATCCACTGCACTTTGGTGCTCGGAGCATAGTTCAAATGAACTGAACTGAGCTGTTGAACAGAACAGAATGTAATCAACAAGGATCCACCTCCCTTTTTCAGCGTAATTGGACATAGCACTGACTGAAGTCGTTTAGTGCTATGACGTGCATCCTCGAAATGTAGTCCTCCAGAATTGGTAGGGCCCACACCTGTGTTGGCACATGGTGACCAGTTAGAAGTCGTTCAGAAATTGGAGTATGTAGTATTCAATGACGTGTTTGCACACATTAACTATATTGTTTCTTATACTCTTATGAGTGACCGATAACACGCTCAAGCGGTACGACAGGCCGTCCTTCTGTGCCGCTACGGAGATCCTGAGAATGCCACTTAGTAAACAAGGTATGTCGATAATTAAAAGGCATGTAGCTTATAGGGCACAATACGTGTGCCAGATACGTGAGAACCCTTAGAAAACGGTAAACGAAAAAGGAGATAGCACAAATTTTGAGTGGTGGGAGTGCTGACTTACAGGCACTATGAATTTTGCGTACTTGGCCACAAGATCATCCACTACATTGGTTGAGGATTCGGAGAGATCGCAAAGCTTCAACAACATATCCCTCTTCAAGTGGGATCCCAGTCTGCTGCCAAGTTTATCAATCGGTGTCTTTCATAAGATACGTCCAAAACTCACGGAAAGGATGTAGACATCAAGAGAACCTAGGCGCTCGATTTCTAGCAGAGCTGACTCGGAGACAATTAGAATCATCCACCGGTTTAATATTTCACTAAAAAACATTTGCTGGTATAGTTTCGGACCCCAAAACATCGGGTGACTGGAAGACACGACATTTGAGAAAAGATAGTAAGTACATTTGTGACTTTTCATTTTTGCGCACATAACCACTCAGAATTTCATCACCATTCCAAAGACACCTATCTGCTTCCGGTGGATGAACAGTTTTGGGCGGAATATCGTAAGAAAATCCAGGTGTGCTGACGATAGGAGTAAAATAAAGATACCTACTAGTATGGCAAAGAAATGCTTCTATCCACAATGGGAGGACTGAGGGAGAGATGATCTACGTGTTTCACACGATGGAGTGCCAGCCACTGCTTCTTAAAACAGTCGGGCAAGCGAGCCAAAGGCCCAGCAAGATGAGGATACCGAAGGATTCTGGACATAAAGCCAGGATAGAGTACTCACAGAGCAGAGGAACGAAGAATAGGGGTTGCGTTTTTAGGCACACCAGCTGCAAATTTTGCAAACCATGGATGAAAATACTGCCATTTGTGGGTTAAAAAGTGTGATTAAATTATATGATGCGATCCGTAAAATCTTTTCAGTATTAATTCTGTATTTGTTAACCGCTGGTTAATGCCGTAATCGCTAAAGTCAAGGCCGTTAGCCGTCTCCCACAAAACATTGCCTTTTGAACTACCTACTGTAAAAGTAGCAATTTTGTATGAAGAGTTTGTTGAATTCTTTGAATGCGCCTTTTCAGGCTCAAGACGGCTGTTTAATTCTACGGCTTCAGGTTCAAGTTTAAATTCGAGTTCAAGTTCGGGTGGGACTGGAACGATGGGGGAATCCGGTAAGCGATTCAGATTCAGATTCTGATGGACTGGAACGATAGGAAAATCCCTTGAGTGTTTCTTACTTAAGCAAATCGCTGAGCCAGGAAATGATAAGGTGCTAGTTCTTGATAGATCTAAAACGAAGCACCCGAAACACACCCTGTTCAACCAATTACTGTCCACGTTCCCTGCACTAGCAGTCCGCGCTGCGTAGGTTACGTGAAGTAAGAAAGAAGTAGAAAGTAAATGGAAGATAAAGGGGAAATGAACGTCATTCAACTGAAGGATAACACCAAAGAGTGAAGAGAATGACAGAATAAGAACTAAAAGTTTGAAGATGGATATGGTCAGGAGAAGGGAAAGGTTTCGTGTTGCCACCCAAGAGTGTCTAACTGACGCTTGAAACCCTTAACCGTAGGTTCACTGACTACACTTTCTAGAAGCGAGTTCCAGCGCTCGATTACGCGCTAACCGAGTTTCCGCCCTGATTCGGTCAGAACGCGGCTTGTGTAGCTTCATGGGATGACCGCGAAGACAAGGCAACCTAGCCGGGCTAAATAGCCAGCTCAAGTCCGGTCTAACCTTTCCTGTTAAAATGCGGTACGTAAGGATTAGATCTCCTCGAAGCCGTCGGTAGTGCATTGAATACATAACCTAGGTAATTAGACGCTCGGGGTATGATTGCCCCCGTAACCCCTCGACCAATTTGGTATCTATTCTCAAAACCCTCTCAAGCTCCATTTTGTCCCTAACAAGGCAGGGCGGGCAAGCCCGGACGCAGTATTCCAGATGGGGCCGGACGAAAGCTGAAAACAGCTTCACAAATATGTCGGCAGTTAAGGCCCCGAAAGAACAGCGTATTAACCACGATATTCTGAAACCCCTACTTGCGGCCTTCTTCCAGTTGTCACCAGAATTCAAAGACGAGGAATGAACGACACCCAGGTCTACCTGGTTGGAGACAAGGGGGAGTTCGACCCCACCGAGTGCGTAGCTCGAAGGCGAGAAAGTTGCTCCTATACGAAGGACGGAACACTTAGCCTGATTTATGGGCAGTAGCCACAAAGTAGACCAGTCCCAGCGTCTGTCCAGTGCACGCTGTATGGCCTCAGAACCCCCAAGAACATTTACAACATTCCATAGCTTAAGGTCATCAGCAAACAATAGGGATAATACCCCAAGCTCTCCAGGGAAATCATTTCCGTAGATGGAGAACAGCAGCGGTCTAAGGACCGAGCCCTGTGGGACACCGCTAAGGACCGCTTGCTTAAACATAAGCTGCGACCCACACTACACACTGCTCTTTTCCCTGCAAGAACGCAGATACCCAGTGAAGGGCGCGGCCAGAAACGCCGTAGGATCTCAGCATTTGTGATAGCCTCAAGTGGGGTACCTTATCAACTGCTTTCGAGAAGTCTACGAAAAGCACATTCACCATGTGGCCATTGTCCACTGCCTCGGCCCAAGCTTCAAGAGCAACCAACAAATTCGTCAAACACGAAAACACCTTCCGGAATCCATGTTGTGCACTACTGAGTAGATTAAATCTATTCAGGTGACATTCCAACGAAGCTCTCATCAGCTTTTCAAGCCGTTTGAGCACGACGCTAGTCAGAATAACTGGCCTATAATTGGCTGACAGACTCCTGTCACCATTTTTGAAGCTAGGACAGATGGCAGCCTCCTTTCATTCGGAAGTTAATGTACAGCTGCCAAGTGATTTCTGAAACACCATCGTCAGCAGTCCACTCAGTTCCACCGCCAACTCATGCAGAAGCTTCGGACGAAGTGAATCAGGTCCAGCTGCTTTGGAAGGGTTCAGTTCTTGCAGCAGTTTAAGGACTTGCGTTTCCACCACAGTAAACACAGCTAAATAAGTACCCTCAGGCATTCTGGGGACAAGTTCAAGGCTAGTCAACGCGGCCTCACGTACAAAAGTCCCCGCATATTGTTCCCCAAGTACACGAGCCTTATCTGAGTCCGCATACGCACGAGTTCCATCGGCCCGCATCAGAGTTGAGATTACCGAAGTTGAACCACAGCGTCTCTTAACATAAGCGAAGCACTTCTTTGGATTTTCCGAAGCACCATCAGCCAATTCCTTTTCGTACACCAGCCGAGCTTTCCTTAAGTGTTGTTTACACTTATTTCTAGCCTCGCGGTGCCTATCATAGGTGCTAGTTGATAGAGCCGCACGGTAGGTCCTCCAGCACCTAGAACGCTTCCGGAGCAGGTGCTTGCCAGTGGTATCTATCCACGGCGGCCGCGCCCGTGTCCTTTCTCCTCGCAAGCGGGATGTGGGGAGTAGACACTTCCGTGAGATAAGATTTAAATTTATCCCGGGCCGCCTGAACCTATCAACCAACGAGATTTCGCAACGCATCCCAGCAGCCCTGATAAACATTGCTTGATAGTTAGCACGCCATATGTTTGGAAATGGCTTAGCAATGCTCTGGTGACGCGTGGTCAGACTACACCTGAACGATAAACAAACATGATCACTGGCACCTAAGGAAGTGCTGTAAGTGATGTCCCCTACGAAGTCTAGATCCAAAATAGACGGGAGTTGGGCGTCCATGTACCTAGTGGGGATGTCCACGAACTGATGCAACGGTACTTGTAGCGTAAGCTGAAGTAGATCTGCCCCGAAAGTACCTTATGCCAAGTTACAAGAAAGATCCGCCCAGCAAACTTCTGCTAGATTGAAATCCCCGAGTATCAAACACCTGTTTGCGGATTGGAAGCGAATAAAGTCAAGCACCTCTTTGGACGCACTCCCAGGGCTTCTATACACAAGTACGACTGTAAGTTTAGCTGAGGAAGTGTTAATCACTACCGATCCACCTTGAGTTTAGCGTTGTGCCAAAAATTGTTGCAGTACTCTGAGTTATTGATGGATCTAAAACGGAACACCTGCAGCGCACCCTGGCCAAGCAGTTAATGCCCACATTTCCTACCCAGCCGTCCCTTCTGTGGCAGTCACATGAAGTAAGCAAATGATAGGAAGAGAAATAGAAGGAACAGAATAAGGAGGTGCACTTGCAACAAGAAAATCATACCTGCACGAAGAAAAGTAGAGAAAAGAAAATCGATGTAGGAAGATACGAGTTAATCAGGAAAATGAAAAGATTTCGTGTTGCCACCCAAGAGCGTCCTGTTGCCGCTCAAGCACTTAAACCGTACTTTCCCTGATAATACTTTCGGGAAGCATGTTCCAGCGCTTGATGATGGCGTGACGGCAGGATTTCATCTCTAATCCGATCGGACCGTTGTTTGTCCAGCTTCAAGAAATGCCCGCTAGAACCGACAATATAGCGGGACTGAATAGCCAAGCTAAATCTGGACTAACCTTCCCAGTTAAGCTATGGTAATTTAAGCTTAGGTCTCCTCTAAGTCTTGAGTAGTGCGTCGAATGCATTCCCAAACTAACTAATTGCTCGGGGTTATTCCGTCCCAGTTGTAAAGTCCAAAGGAACTTTAATGTATCCCCAAATGGGATTGCTTACATTAGGACACGGTATATTTGTTCCCTAGATATTCTGTTCACTTACATCGCTTTACTGTGTCCTCCATGCGGTTACCATATCATATAGTTATTTCGTTTACTCGATCACTGACATATACTTGACGTGACAAGGTTATTCATATTATTATGTTACTGTGACACTGGCCAAATACTCGCTCCGCCTCACACTGTAAGTCTCTGCCCACTTGCACTACGATTGCAAAACCTGTTCGTAAGTCATGTACTGTTTTTAGTATGCCTTATAGAACGACGGCTGCAGGATAATTCGTTTTATTCTTCTGCCTAGACCGCGTGTTAAGTCTAGGTTCATTTGTTCGTAGGTTCTATTTTAGTTGTCGTACGACATACGTAGATTAAGCTTCGTATCTTTGGTACACCAGTTATGCCTCAAGTAACCTAATACCCACCCGTAAAACCTTGCTAGCTCCATTCTGTTTCGGACGAGGCAGGACGGACAAGTCTAGACGCAGTATCCCAGATGAGGCCAAACGAAAGCCCAGAAAAATTGTAAACATGCCGCCTGTCAAGAAACCGAAAAAACGTCGTATTAACCACCACTCTCGGAAGCCTCTGCTTACGGCCTTCTTCCAGTTGTCTCCAGAGTGTAAAGCCGAAGCGTGTACGTAGCCTAGCTTAGCCTGGCTAGATACACGGGGGAGTTCGACCCCGACCAAGTAGTTCGCAGGAGGACGGCCTCCAATTAGAAGAACGGTACACCTTGCCTGATTTATGGGTAATGGCCATAGATTAGACCAGACTCAAGGCTTATCCAACGCTCGCTGCAAAGCTTCGGCACCCCAGGCACATCGACAATGTTCCACCTCTTCAGGTCATCAGCAAATAGCTGTGATGGTACCACAAGCTCCATGTGTAGGTCATTCACACAGACAGAGAACAGCAGCAGTCCAAGGACTTCTGTGAAAGGTATCTGCTAAACGGGATACATAATCTATTGTACATACACTATTAAGTATACACATATAATAAAAATTTGCCTCAGTTGATCCTCTGCAGCACACTTTTAGCTTTCCAAATTATTTGTGTTATGACTATGTTCTACGCAGCCACATTTAACCATCAGTTAACTCGGGTCTGGTCCGTTTCGCACTTCCGAGTCACAGCACATAGATGACAGGTTGCTGCTTTTA